TGACCATTATACCTTTTGTATAAATTTCAAAATGCATGATCATATATTGGATCAGGCGTTTTGTTTTAATTTATTAGATCAAATTTTACATTTGATCATTTCCTCTTTGCAGTACTTAGTATTACATAAAATGGATAGAGAATTAACTGGATTTTCCTACTCCCACCATGCAGTAATTAGTATTACATAAAATGGATAGAGAATTAAGTGGATTTTCCTACTCCCACCACGCATACCTAATTGCTTTGTTACTTACTTTGATTTTTTCTTCCCTTTATATATGCTCCCCAAAAATCTTCAACTATGACACTCAATTGTTATCCCAAATTTGTCCTCTCTCGGAGACGAGGTGTAGAATGATTATAGGAAACGTATCACAATATTCGTAGAACTTTAATAATTTAATTTGGGAAAAGTTTATATAGAGCCAAGGCTCTAAATAATCAAATTGGAGCCTATCACAAAAATTTCACTTAAAGAGGTTGTTTTGAAATCCCAGTATCTTCAAATTGATTATCTCAACATCAAGATACATGGACATGAGAAAAAAATAGATTTCAAGTTTTGGAAATAATATAGTTTGTAATGCATTTTTAGACCGTCAATTTTTAAAATTTTCAAGTTTTCCTAGATCTGTCGATCTATACTATTTTTGAAGCTTTAAACTTTATAAATAAAGGCGAAAATATATTCTAAGGCTACCACAAATATTTCTAGTATTGAAACCACATTTCTCGATACTATTTGAAGGTAGGCTCTAATTTGATTGTTTAGAACCTAGGCTCTTTGCAAACACCACCCATTAAATTTTATTTTTATTTTTGTAACTAGTCCAACTCATGATCAGGGTTTGGAATCAAATTCTAAAAAATAGATAAAAATGTAAATAGTTCATATCCAAAGTGAAAAAAAAAAAATTAACTTTTTTTTTTCCACCACTGACATACCCAAAAAAGAAAAAGTATATTTTAGAAAATTTCCTTAAAAAATGAATCTTCAATGCTGGCAGATCAGGTTTTAGCTGAGAGACTAAATGTACTATATGCTCCAAGGGGAGCATAAAATGTTTTTGCTTCTCATAAGCCACGTTATGATTACAAGGCGGGCACCAACGTCCTTCATAAGCGAGTCAAGAGATGCACTTTTAAATATCTCAAAGCCACGTGTGAAAATACTGCCCTCCTTGAACCTTTACCCTGCACTAATTTCTAGCAAGAGAGGTTAAAATAAATTAATTATCGTTTGTAAGAAATGAGGGTATTTATTTTGAAAATATATATGAGGGGATCATTTATTTTTTATACAAGAATGTCACAATTATTGTCAACCATTGGATATGAAATCGGATGGGTAGCGATATGTCACTAATTGAGCACAAAGTCTAAAGCAAATTTTTTTGAAAGCTGTGATATATTTTAATATGTTAGGTTTCATATCCAAAGGATAAGAAAAGTTGTGCTCTTCTTGTACCAAAAATAAATGGTCTCATAGTACACAATCCCATTTATTTTTTGTACAAGCAAGTCACTATTACTTTTTAATTATTTTTAACCAAAAGATGTGAAATCAAATAATAGAGTTGTGTTATTGACCAGGCTTGAAATCTAAAAAGAAATTTCTTCAATGTTTAAAACTAGTAGAATTTAATATCTGTTAGCTAGATGTAGTTGACTTTTTTGTATGAAAAATAAGTATAGTAAACAATTGGCCTTTTGAATGAGTTATTTCCATGTTTTTTGTTTTTTTTTCTTTCATTTTGTCATTATGATCTAAGGTGGAAAATGAATCACAACTATCATGGAATGGGAGTATTTCTAGTTTTGTTTCGAATTTCATGATTTAATTTGAAAATGTCCAACCTTTACCAACTTGTTCTCATTTCAGTTTGTCTATCAAAATGCAACAGCTAAATTAATGTCAAAAAATATATATATGCAATAGCTAAATTTTCACGAATATTTGGAGGAGCATTAATTTTGTAAGATAATATGCGCACATGTGTGTCTTTGCGTGCCCTTTTATGCATGGATGATAGAAAATAGTTACTTGCAACCAAGCTTTGTGTCTCCAAATATAATTTGTGTCAAGAGGCGTGCAGTCATCGAATTTTTATGGGACAGCTAGAAGTGAGTCCATAACATTACAATGCTTTTTTTCTTTATGAAATGTACCAACACCAATGTTATCTCAACCATGACCTAATAGATAAAGTTTGATATCAGCATGTAGCATGGTTATATACTCGCTTCCAGCCCTCTAATCAAGATCAGACAAGTAGAGGTCTTCGGACATATAAATTATGTGTAAAGGTCTATTCAAAATAAAAAAAATTTATGTGGAGACACATAAAAAAGATGTCTCTTTTTTTTCTTTTTTTTAGCATGATACATGAAAAAGGTCTACCGTTATTTGATCTTTTGGTTTAAAAATTTTGGTATATTTTGAGAACCAGGAACCAAGACAGAAAGGAGCAGCATTGTAGTGATAGGGCTTAGCGTGCATACTTCACCAGTGGAGATGAGAGAGAAACTTGCAATCAAAGAAGAAAAATGGCCATGTGTGGTTCAGGAACTATGCAACTTGGATCACATTGATGAAGCTGCAGTTCTTAGTACATGCAACAGAGTTGAGATATACTTTGTCACTGGTTCATGGAACAAAGGGACACAAGAAGTGAGGGAGTGGATGGCCAAGGTATAGATAATATGCTATAAGCCATTTGAACCCTTAAGATGTTAACTATGTTTTTTATGCATAAATACTATTTAATTTTATGATTATCCACAAAAACTGAAAATTTCTTTCTTGAAAAAGGCTGAAATGCTAGTATTCAGGGTTTGAGATCTTGAACTAGGGGAATTTGGTTAATTTGCCATATAAAACAAGTGGATCAATTTAATTAAATGCCACCTCTCATTTCAATTTCAAATATGGAACAAGGGATCTTAATGAAAAATATGTTTTTGAGTTTGAATCCCAAAACAAGCGGGGACGGTTTCCACTTAAGTTGGTGATTTACGTAGAGCCAAATGGTGTAAATGACATAACTTTTTCCACGTACCAAACATGGAACAAGATATTTTAATGAAAAAATGTATTATAATTTTGAAACCTAAAATGAGTGGGGATATTTACATCATTTAGTTGGTTGTATTTGGAAACTATGAACAAGAGATCTTAATAAAAAAAGGTGTCGTAAGTTTGGAATCTAAAAGAAGCAAGATATGTACACTATTTTTCTTGGGTACTTCAGTGGAGCAAAACTAGTAATACGCTCCTGGTTTGAGATTAGAATTAATGAACAAAGACGTTTAAGATATCTATTGACAAAGTAATTGAGAAGTTACTTGTATGGTATTTAGTACCCACTTGGTCGATTTTTATGGTTGATTCAACCATTTCAAAAAAAAAAAAAATTGTTTTGAAGTAATTTGATTGTTCTCTCTGTTTCTATTTAAGCGGTGTATACAATGCTCTTGCAGGAACAAATTGGACAATTACTCCTTTGGGGAAAAGGGCTACTTGGGGGAATTTTTCCATCTGAAATTGTTGGATCCACTTAATAATCACTAGATGATTTTCAAAAAACAAAAGTTGGATTTTGATTTCTTCATCACATAAATCTCATCTTTCAATTGGACCATTTCTGTTTAATCTTGGAGCACTATCTTTTCAAGTGCATAGAGAATATGATTTGTTACTCGTGTTTTAGAGAATATGATTTGTTACTCGTGTTTTTCTCCGTACTAGGTTGAAGAAGCTACATGTCCAAAATTTGAGGTCTTAAAAATACTCCTAGATGAGACTTTACCTGAGAGTATAGACAAGGGTGCAATGAGTTCGGTGATGAACCCGGCCAGAGTCGCGTCCAGTTCCATGACCTCATGGGTCAGTCTGCACCGGGATTAACCCAACGAAACCTGACCCAGTGTGTATATATATATGGACTAGGTTTCTATACTGTCAAGCCCGCATATGTAGAAATGAGGGGCTCTTAATAAATGTACTTTTGAGATGGATTTTAAGACTTAATTTTTAAGAACATGTAATCTCTAACATGGAGATCATGCATATGAAAAAATAAATAAATTTTAAAAACTAGAAATAATAATTCAAGTAAGAAAACATTTGGACTGTTAGTCTCTATTGTTTATAGATGGAACACCTATTTGCCTCCATCTTTAAGATGGATGCTTTA